ATGAAAGCGTGTGATGTGTTTTGCTGAAAGTTAATTATGTATTATGAAAGTAGGAGGTGTGATTATGGTGAAGTGCTACAGGGAAGGCGTGGGACCTGTTATGAGGTCGGTTAATTATGTGTAATGAAAGTGAGTGATGTGCTGTGATGATCTATCCATTAATATTTTGCCACAGTGAATGAAAAGAAGAAAGAGAGAATAGGATGTACGTCACATAGCGTCCGTGTTAAGAAGTGCACTGCGTTATCATGATTTTCCCATTCGCCGTATTAACATTAACTTATTACTGACATTAACATTACCTACCCTTTTCTCCAACCCTGGAGGTGGCGTGTGAGAAAAACGAAGACATTAGTTATCTTTTCTTTGGCGAATGTGACGAGATCGGCGGCATCGTAACGGGTGAGAAACTTCTTTTTTCTTACTAACTTATCTTACTATTCATTAAAATAAATCACTATTAATTACGAGATCCGATATCAATGTCCTAATTGATAATACTCCTAATATCCTCAATTAATTTTACCCCCTTTTTTTCTCCCAATCATTAGACGTGATCTACCCCACGCCCCTGCCGCCCACGAGCCCAGAAGACCCGTGTCACGCCTACAAGTGCATCGCGGGCGCCCAGTGCAAGGCGGACGCATCCGACGGCCGCCCACGCTGCATTTGCGACTTCTACTGCTCGCCGCCACCCAGATATGAGCCCGTGTGTGGCAGTGACATGGAGTTCTATGAGTCGGAATGCCTCATGAGATTGCACGCTTGCAACATCCAGGTTGAGCTCTTCGTCCTCCCCGTCGAGAAGTGTGCAGGTGAAGTCGCTGTGTTGCGCCTCTGCTGTAGCTGATGCTCGTTTATAATATACATATTTTATTTCTTCTTTTTCTCGTCTTTTCCGTCTGTTTTTTTTTTTTTTTTTTTTTTTTTTCATTTCCTCCTTCTCTTCCTTCTTCTTCTTCTTTTATTCATCTTTTAATATTCTTTTGTTTTTTCCTCTTTCTCTTTTGCTATTCATTATCGTTTACTTATTTTTTTTAGCTGGAATAAGAACGCTATCTGCTGTCACACACACACACACACACACACACACACACACACACACACACACACACACACACACACACACACACACACACACACACACACACACACACACACACACGCACACATACATATATATACACACACACGTACACACATATATATAAACACACACACCCAGACCCACATTTATCTAACTCATAGGCATATCTATTTCTGTAAAGCTTTTTTATACATGTATAAAGTGACATACATACATGTATATATATATATATATATATATATATATATATATATATATATATATATATATATATATATATATATATATATATATATATATATATGTATATACATTATATATATATATATATATATATATATATATATATATATATATATATATATATATATATATATATATATATATATATATATATGTATATATATATATAAATGTATATAAATATATATATATATATATATATATATATATATATATATATATATATATATATATATATATATATATATATATATATATATATACATACATACATATATATATATATATATATATATGTATATATATATATATATATATATATATATATATATATATATATATATATATATATATATATATATGTGTGTGTGTGTGTGTGTGTGTGTGTGTGTATGTTCTTTGCCTCGTTTGTTATAGTTCTCCGCTTTTGATTTGTGTGTTTTTTTACTGTTATTCATTTTCGTTGATTTTCATTTCTTTATATTATTCATGTTTCTCTTTCAGTTTTCATTCTACCTGTTCCTTTATTTTCCTTTTAATTACTCTCCTGTTATCCTTGTTCTTCTTTCTGAACCGTCGTTTTCATTACTTCTCCTTTGTACTGTTTGTCTGCTTTTCCGCCATCTGCTCCTGACTTTTCTTTCATCTCCTCTTTCGTCTGTCCCGACCGTCTGGCGCGTCCCTCCCCTTTCATCTTTGCTGGATCTCGCGTCCATTTCCTCTTTCTGTCTGTTTCTCTCTCTCTCTCTCTCTCTCTCTCTGTGTGTGTGTGTGTGTGTGTGTGTGTGTGTATGTGTGTATGTGTTTACATATATATAAACACACACACACACATATATATATATGTACACACACAAATGTATAAGTGTGTGAGCTCGTGTATGTATATGTATGAGAATGTTTAAACAACAAAACTTTTGTGAATTTCTACAACATACTTCCTTAAAACCATCCTCTATTCTCCCCCCCTCCCTTTTTTTCTCACAGCCGCCCAGAAGACGCGGGCGTGCAACGGAACCTCGCCCCTGATCAACCCGTCCACCGGCGAGGACCTGTACTGCGGTGAGGGTGGCACCATCTGCCCGCCTGGCACCTACTGCCACCGAGATCAGGAGCTGGCCAAGTGCTGCCGCGACTTTTCCGTCAGAATAGCGGGTAAGGTTCTTCCCTTGGCTGTGTGTGGCTCTTGGTGTCAGCGATTTATTTTTGTGGGATGCATTTCTAGCGTTTGGTGATTATTACGTGTAATTCTATCATTTACATGGAAATATATATAGAGAAGGGGACACATGCACATGCACATACAAACAGACACACACTCACACAAACATACATATTTGCAACCACACACACACACAAGCAAACCCAAACCTACCCGAACACACACACACACATACACACAAACCCACCTTCCATACGCAAACAAACACACTCACACACACACCTCCCAGCCTCAAAACCGCCTCCCTCCCTGAGCGCGTCTCCCCTCCGTCCTTCCCCAACGCAGTCATCGAGGCTCCGGTGCCCGACGACTGCGACCAGAGCCAGTGGGGATGCTGCGAGGACGGGATCAACTTCGCCAAGGGGCCCGACCGAGAGGGATGCCCCGAGGCCTGTCGGTGCCACAGACTGGGTGAGAGGCGGCACTGATTTCCCTTATTGGGAGTACTTGCCTTGTGTTACTATTTGTGTTTAATTCGTAAGTCTATTCATACTGTATATTTTTCATGCGTAGGACTATTTGCTCAATGGATTTTTGTTCATGGGTCTACTCGTTCGGCAAATTTTATTCATATATTTGTTTTATCCATTGATATATTACTGTTGATATCAAAAATGTTTATCTCAACTTGATTCTTCCCTTATCTCGACCCACACCCTCCCTTATCTCAACTTGACCCCCCCCTCACCTCCCTCGCAACAGGAGCGGTGCGGGAATCCTGCGACGCGATAACGGGCATGTGCGAGTGTCGGCCGGGCGTGGGAGGAAACAACTGCGATCGCTGCTTACCTGGTTATTACGGCCTACAGAGGGTGTCGAACGGTGCTATTGGCTGTACGCGTAAGTGGCAACCATTTTTGTTTTCAATGATTTATTCATTTTATTTTCATTAATATATATATATTTTTTCGTTTCTGTGTTTGGTTTATTATTGTGATTATCGTTATCATTGTGTATTCTGGTCTTTATCTTTATCGTTGGTTTTAATGTTATTGTTTGTGTTGTTTTTATTTTTTTATATCACAACTGTTCTCGTTATTGTTGTTATTACTATCATTAGCCGCAGTTATAAAAGTAGTATTAATAGTAGTAGTAGTAGCAGAAGTAATAATAGTAGTAGTTGTAGAAGTAGTAGAAACAGCAAAAATAGTGTCAGTAATTGTTGTAAGTATTAGCATCTATATTTTATTTATTCAATACTGTCCAAAATACATGTCCTTTGTATTTCAAATCATTGCCCTCAAGTCAAAAGTCGCCGAATTCATTGGACGACATCACCCCGGCGACCGACAACTGAATCCCGCACCACCCATCACCCATCTTCTTTAAAACTCCATCGTTAAGCCAACTACATTTTTTGTCCTTTGTCCTTGTCCTCACCCCCACTTCCTCTTCCCTAGCTTGCGGCTGCTCGCTGTTTGGCTCCCTACGCACCGATTGCAAGCAAATGACGGGGGAATGTGTGTGCAAACCGGGCGTGTCTGGCCATCGATGCACGCAATGTCCACGAGGCAAAGTCCTTAGGCCAGAGGGATGTGTGTACGGTATGTTAATAGCGGCTGTGGTATTGTTTGGGATTAATTTACTTCTGCGTCTATTGAGTCTGTAAGGTCTACGTTAGCGGAGTGGAATGGAATGTGATTAATCAGCTTTTGAATTGTTAACGTGTTTACTTATATACAGTTTATATGCATACGTGAACACACACACACACACACATACATACATATATACATACATACATACATACATACATACATACATACATACATGCATGCAGGCACACACACGCGCGCGCGGGTACTGCATATCGTTCGTATATTTTGCAGACGATGCCTTAGTGCCAGAAGCCACAACCTGCGAACTCCTACAGTGCCACTTCGGAGGACAGTGCCGTGAAGAGGGTGGCATTGCTACATGCCAATGCACTCACCACTGCTTACCTGTAAATACCAATTTACAAACTTTAACTAATTAGCGTTTATGAGACGAGTTTTTTTTAATAACCCCAAACTAACAGGAAACTGGTACACACTCCTATGCCTCTTTCCTCTCCCAGGGTAACATGGGGATCGGCCTCGTGGTGTGTGGATCCGACCGAGTGACCTACGCGTCCGAATGCGAATTAAAGTACCAAGCGTGTGTACAGCAAGCTGATATTGTCGTCATCGCTTTCGGACCGTGTGATGGTGAGTCGAAAATGAGTGTTTAATCGTTTTGTAAAGTGAGTAAATGGGTGTTTTCGAGGTAGCGTGATGGTAAGTTAAAGATGGGCATTTGAGTGTGTTTAGGGTGAGTAAAGGAGTGAGTTATTTTGTTGTTTTTAAAAGGTAAGTGAAGGTATGTTTTCTAGGCGGTGTGATAGTGAGTCAAAAAATATTTTCGTGAGTTAGATATCAGTATCATTATCTATAAAAGGTAAGTAAGACTATTTTAAGGGAGTATGAT